TTGAGTTTATCTTTGTGTATGGTGTAGGAACGTGGTCCAGTTTCATTCTTCTGCATGTGGCTGTTCAGTTTTCCCAGCACCATTTATTGAAGAGACTGTCTTTTTTCCATTGCATATTTTTTCCTGCTTTGTTGAAGATTATTTGACCATAGAGCTGAGGGTCCATATCTGGGCTCTCTATTCTGTTCCATTGGTCTATATGTCTGTTTTTGTGCCAATACCATGCTGTCTTGGTGATCACTGCTTTGTAATATAGCTTAAAATCGGGCAACGTGATGCCCCTGGCTTTGTTTTTCTTTTTCATCATTCCCTTGACCATTTGGGGTCTTTTCTGATTCCATACAAATTTTAGGACTGTTTGTTCTAGCACTTTGAAAAATGTCATTGGAATTTTGATCGGGATGGCATTGAAGTTATAGATTGCTCTGGGTAGCACAGACATTTTAACCATGTTTATTCTTCCGACCCATGAGCATGGAATATTTTTCCATCTTTTTGTGTCTTCAATTTCTTTCATGAGTGTTCTATAGTTCCTAGAGTATAGATCCTTTACCTCTTTGGTTAGGTTTATTCCGAGGTAGCTTATGGTTTTTGGTGCTATTGTAAATGGAATCGTTTCTCTAATTTCTCTTTCTACAGTTGCGTTGTTAGTATATAGGAAAGCAACTGATTTCTGTGCGTTGATTTTTGTATTCTGCCACATTACAGAATTGCTGTATGAGTTCCAGTAATTTGGGGGTGGAGTCTTTCGGGTTTTCCACATAAAGTATCATGTCATCTGTGAAAAGAGAGTTTGACTTCTTTGGCAATTTGAATACATTTTATTTCTTTTTGTTGTCTGATTGCTGTTGCTAGGCCTTCTAGTACTATGTTGAACAGTAGTGGCGAGAGTGGGCATCCTTGACGTGTTCCTGATCTTAAGGGAAAGGCTCTCAGCTTTTCCCCATTGAGGGTGATATTTGCTATGTGTTTTTCATAGATGGATTTTATGAACTTGAGGAATGTTCCCCCATCCCTATACTCTGAAGAGTTTTAATCAGGAAAGGATGCTGTATTTTGTCAAATACTTTTTCTGCATCAATTGAGAGGACCATATGGTTCTTCTCTCTCCTCTTTATTAATGTGTTCTAGCACATTGATTTGCAAATTCTGAACCACGCTTGCATCCCAGGGATAAATCCCACTTGGTCATGGTGGGTGATCCTTTTAAAGTATTGTTGGATCCTATTAGCTAGGATTTTGTTGAGGATTTTGGAATCCATATTCATCTGGGATATCAGTCTGAAGTTCTCCTTTTTGATGCGGGTCTTTGCCTGGTTTGGGGATTAAGGTAATGCTGGCCTCATAGAATGAGTCTGGAAGCTTTCCTTCTGTTTCTATTTTTTGAAACAGCTTCAGTATAATAGGTATTATTCCTTCTTTGAATGTTTGGTAGAATTCTCCAGGTAATCCATCAGGCCCTGG